CAGTCCTTTCTCCTTTCACCCCTGCACTTACTTTGCCATTTTGAAGTATACTACTTGTTAGTAGTTTGTTTTGCTTTCGTCAATTATTCGCATCATGGTTTCGAATATTTGCTATTGCAAAAGAATGTCTAGAGAATAACGAGAGCAATTTTCAATAATTTCTTCATTGAGTTCTACAATTATACATACATATATTCATATTCATGGAACACTTATTGTTAGTAATAACATTACTGCTTTGAATAACATCGAATGATTAAGACCAATCGATTACAGTGAAACGCATTCGTGTGTAATAAGATGCATTAACATAACACTAAACTGAATATTAGATAAATTAAGAGAAATATTGTAGTCTTCATGAGTTTAGATGCTGCATTAGGCCAGAGCAGCACCACTAGCTAGACATATTTCTTGCTATTGATTCTGCTTTAGCCAAATTTATTCGTTCCCACCCCCGATCAAAGATTCTTCAAATGCTAGCGTTATGGATTGTTTGGACACTGTGAGTGACTGATGGTCCTAGAAACTTTATTCAATAAATAATATTGTACGGCTTTGCAAGAACTGGCGCAGCATTACGCTCCTGTCTATCTCAAGCAAAATACTAAGCCGCATCATCCTGGAGAGAATCAAACACGCCCTGGATGAAAAACTCCGACCAGAACAGGCTGAATTCAGGAGAAACAAGTCATAATAATAATGATTTACTTTATTCCAAAAACAGTACTTGTGATACAGAATGGAATTTTCAGCATTAATCACAATATTGCATCTAATTTCCTCAAATTATAAATAAAATTAATCACACAGAAAATTTTCCACATTTACAATAGAGGTAGTGTCAGAAACATGCAGCATATAAAATGGAAATAATAATGATAATAGCTAGGGTAATAATAGTAATACAAGTGAAAATTACCGTGGGCTTGTTTCACACAGTATTGGCAATGTGGTATAGAAATCCTGACGTGTTTAGAAATATTGAATATAATGTTCTCTTTACATGATATGGTGAAGGGAAAAACAAAGATTACAGCAGTCATGGAGATAAGTAGGTGTTTGCAATTATTACAGTAAAACAAAGAAGTAGCAGGACCATAAATATAATAGAAATAATAAAAGTAAAACTTCAAGTTATATAAGGATGGATGGAGGAAATTGTTTATTTACTAGATGAAAAAGGTTAGTTAATTCTTGCCTGACACTATTTTCATCACAAAAAATACGTGCCAAGTATGGCGTGCGAGCATACAGTTTTCTGAAGTTACTTCTTGTTCTACCTGAGGAGATGCAAGGTGAAAGCTGAGGGTAAAGTGGATGCTCCGAGTCAGACAAAATCCCTCTAGCAAATTTATTGCACAAAGTCAATTGCCTATCGATAACAACATTAGCTATGTGGTCCACTGGGACACCACTCACCCTACTGACCGTCTTCAGCATTCTACGAATTGTGACATAGTCCTTTTTATGCAGACCGGGAAAGAATAAGGGTGAACAATGAAGAAGAATAGATAGGATGCAAGAGTTTATGAACTGTAGGAGGAGGGGTTGAGTTAAACCCAAGTGCCTTAACTTCTTAATGTAAAATATCAGGCAGAATATTTTACTGGAGATCGCTAAGACATGGGAAGACCAGCAGAGATCAGAAGAGAGAATAAGTCCAAGATATTTAATTTCTGATTTGATTCCTATATCATTGTCGTCAATCTTACAACTGTCATGAGAATCGATGACTTCTTTTAACTGTCTTTCACATCTTAGGCTGAAATTAAGAGTTTGACATTTAGAAGGATTCAGTTTAAGACCGCTAGACTCAGACCATTTACTGACTCCCGACAGAAAGCTATTTATTTTGGTACAATCTAGCTCGGAGTTAACAGCCATTGAAACTGTTAAGTCATCAGCATACTTCACAAAGGTTATTTCATCAGAGTGAGGCAAGTCATGCAAGAAGAAAGAAAAAAGAAAAGGAGAAAGGACAGCGCCTTGAGGGACACCAGCTTCAGTAGGCAATGAATTAGAAGACTTCCCTTTATACACGGTGTGTAGGGGACTGTTACGAGAGTTCATTAACATCACAAATATGAGAATAATAATCCAAGTCAATGAAACGTTAAATAACAATATATTACCAAAAAAATACAGTAACGAGTTATATCAATAAAAAGGATTACTTGGATATAAAGTTTAAGTCCTCTGCTACAAATTATTTATATAATCCACGGGAACGTTAACTGTTGGGTTTGTGTCTGCTGTAGATGCTGTGTGCCGGTTTCATTAGGCAATAGGTTCGTCGCTGGAGTTTTCTTCTGCTAATCCTTTCTGGACATCTGATCCTTAGTATCGACAGAAAGTGGCTGTTGGAAATGCTTTCGGCTATGTATGTGCCCACTAAGTCTCTAAATCACTACTTTGACATTAGTGTTGAAACTTTGCATCTTGTCTCTTGTGCTGAGTGAAGTCGATCTCTACACTCATTTTAGAGTAATAAAGGTATGGTCTTACTATTCCAATCCTAACTTGCTTTGATATCCTCATCCGTACCTCCTGACTGTAGTTTGAAATGCTGCTGCCTAGGCGAATAAATGACAGTGGTGGTGACTTCCATTACATATCTCCCACTGATGGTGATGATTGCTGCTTCTGGCTGAAGTAGATAGAGTGGACTTTGGATACATGATCCACTGACTGGAAGTCAACTGCTTAAAGCGATGAGCCACATGAAATACAAACCAATAAAATAGTTTTGTAACAATTAGAAAACAACTATTTAAATTAAAACAGTTGTCCCCATCGTATTTTACAACTTTTCATCAACAGGTTTTTCAGGTGAATATATTATTAAACCCTGATAAATTTCAACGTCAGTCATTTTCTTCAATCCGACCAAGTTAAACTTAACGGTGAAAGCTTGTCTTTTAAACGAAAAGAAATCAACTAATGCTCATTCACTTATCTGGGGACCATTGTCTCAACTACAGGGGTAACGGACGAGGATGTCAAATCGAGAAGGCGAGAAACACATTCATCATCAACCTGAAATCAATCTGGAAATCCTCGTCACTCAGCCAGTATCGACAACAAAATTCGGTCGGATTTTCAATACAAACGTTCTTCTATAGGGATCAGAAACTTGGCGGGTGGGTCACAAAGAATATTTCCAACAGCCTGTTCCAGACCTTTATCAACCAACAACTGTCTTCGCTGGATCTATACTGAAGATCAGATGGCCGGGCTGGAAAGAATCACCAACTATTGGAAACTATGGGGACAAACAAAACAAGAACCAATCGCTCAACAAATATGCAGGAGAAAGTGGAGATGGATTGGACACTCACTGAGGAGGCCGCTGGGTGACATCGCGCGTCAGGCCCTCGAGTGGAACTCGAAAGGGAAGCGGCGAGTGGGACGTCAGTGCAAGGGTGACATGGAGGAGATCGTGTGAAGTGGAGTTGAAAGAGTATGGACTAACATGGATGGATGCAGATGAAAAGTGCAGCAGAAGACAGAAGCAAGTGGAGACGTGCAGTTGAAGACCTAAGTCCCACTAGGAACCCAAGGGAACAATAACATTAATAATTTGAAACCATTTCGAAATCTTCAGTTATATTCGTGTATTCATTACACCAACACAAACTGCTTAGTAAATTAATCTTCGGGATAAACAAACGAACTGTGCTTATCATTAGCAGTAAATTAGGTGAAGACAGGTAATGCCACACAGTTAAGTTGACAAGACATGACAAACAGATCCCAGGAATACTTTGATTGGACACTAGTAACTAGTGTGATGTGTCTAGTCCTTTATTCGGTGAAGACTGGATTCGATCAGTCAGGTTTGCAATGTGGCCACGACTTTTGGGTAGCTCGCCATCACGGTGCACATTGATTTGATGGCATTAGATGCACAGAAGAAAGGACTAAACACAACACACTAGTTACTAGTGTACAATCAAAGTATCAAATACAGTCCTAAAGGAGGTCAATCATGAGCCTGAATACCTCAGTGGTAACATCTCTGACTGCAGCAGTGGGTGACGCGGATTCGAATCTCAGAAAGGACCTGAGTTCCTTCAAGCTTTCAGATACGCCTTACTGACGAGTTCCAACTAGCACGAAACCTAGGTCCAAGGATTTCTACCGATTGCCTCCAACCATCTAATATCATCAGATCTTAGGAATCACAACCAAACGGTCTACACCTCCGTTGATAACTGTCTGTCTGTTTTCGACATAGAACTTTGCACAAATGTGCGTGAGTTCAAGTCGCCACATTCCGTGTAGCACGCGAAGCAAGAGAGGAAAGTACAAGAAAAGCATAATAGAAACAGTGAGCAGAGGTCTGAGACAAAGGAGTAATAAAGAAATACAAAACAGTTTTATTGAAGATCATAAGTCACAGGGAGTGGATGGATCTGCGCCACTGAGAACGGTTTTGAGCCATGTCACCAATTGTTTCCAACCATAGATTTTTACCGTCCCGAGGACCCCAGCCTGGAAGTCTACACCTTCCTACGTGGCTTAGACCAACTGTTGTGGATTTCATTGACTGATGCCAAGTTTTTGTTTGACCGCCGCTAGCTTTTTTCCAGCCTGACCCCTTATCCGCTAACATAGCTAGTCGAGGGAGGCGATGGCTTGGCATACGTAACACATGTCCGTTGATAACGTTCAGAAACAGACACACAGATACACAACCAAATGAAAACTAAACAACTGGATCAACTCCATCCATTCATTCATTCATTTAAAAGGAATAACAGATTACTCTGATCACAAAAATAGTTTAATCTGTTCTCTTAGTATGACAACAAAAAAGGGCAGTAAGGAAATAGTAATTATAATAATAAACACGAAGTGGAATAAAACCATTTGTGTTGTACATCTCCCTCTCTCTCTCTCTCTCTCTCTCTCTCTCTATATATATATATATATATATATATATATAAAATGCAAATGTTAACAACAATAATAAATGCTGGTTTAAAATGAGCTACAATAGCCCAAAGAAGTTTTAGTACTATAACCGGGTTGATTGATTGATGAAGAATAATCCTGTAAAACAAATAATAAAACAATGCTAACAGAGATTTACAAATAATGGCGTGATAAGAATGCTTCTTAAATTTGTGTTATACTTGAAAGCTAGCGGAGGTCAAACAAAAACTTGGCTGCACCAGTCAATGAAATCTACAACAGTTAGTTTAAGTCAGTCACGTGGGAAGGTCACAAGCAGGGGATGCATCTGCACCAGCTATTGAGAACTATTTTGAACCATATCACTAATTGTTTCCAACCATTGGTTTTTACCGTCGCGAGGACTCCAACCAAGAAGTCTATACCTTTCCACGTGACTGACTTAAACTAACTGTTGTAAATTTCATTGACTGATGCCATGGTTTGGTTTGACTGGCGCTAGCTCTTTTCCAGCTTGACCGTATATCAGCTAACATTGCCCGTTGTCGAGGATGGCGATGACTAGGCATGCATGCGTAACACATGTCCTAAACATCTCAGTCGATCTAGCTTCGCAGACTTGTCGATTGATTTCCTCTCCTTACCTGGTACTCGATGCCTAACCTCAATACTGTTCACCTTATTATACCACTTCACACAGTTACAGAGCGCAGGCACCTATGATCAAAGACAGCCAGTCTTTTCATGTCTTCCTCTCTCAATGGCCAGGTCTCACAGCCATAAAGGAGGACGGAGCGGACTGATGAGCAGTACACCCGCCCTTTGGTCGATAGCCAGTCGGATATCACGTCTGCGCCATAGACGGCGTAAACTGGCATATGCGAAACTAGCCTTCTGTATACGTGCTGAGATTTCGTCAGGTCGTCCTAGGGTGACATAGAGAAGATCGTGTGTAGAAGAGATGAGAGCGTTTGGTCAATCGTCGACCCAGCTGAAGAGGACGGTAGAAAACAGAACGAAGTTGAGATGTGTTGTTGAAGCCCCATGTTCCACTCGGAACTCGAAGGAAGAGTAATAATATAATAATAATATGTAATTGTACATCCCGATGAGGAGTTACCAAAATTGTGTTCTATAATTATTACATAATGGAAATATTTGAATTATCTTGCATTTCTTTTGAACTCATACGTATGGTGAAACTTTCCCCCATCCGTTTCCGTGTGCATATTGATTACAAATCATTCATTAAATTAACCGCCTTGCTGTGTAACTTCTAACATATTGTGTCAATTGTCCAAAACGGAAAAGAGCATGAACCTAGCGCTGCCTCAGGATACTATGTGCATCACATCGACTCTTAAAAGAACAGAAAAAAGATTCGAGGTGATTCGAGGATTGTTTATTTCTTCACCCTGACTGACAATGAACCAAGAGTACACGGTTACTACTACAGCATAAAGTTTTTGATCGCTTCCCTTCAGTATTCTGCCAAATAGCGTACGACTGACTGACTAGGCCACAGTTGCCATTATTGCCTCCAGCGAAAATGAAGATCCGTTCGAATAAACAAACCATATATATTGCTTATTCAATGTTCCCTACCTATTCAACCTCTCTTAAGTGTTGATGAATATTATCAGCAACTGTGGTTATCACAAATCATCCTCTTGTGTTACTATCTTCTTTTATGAAAGAAGGCTGAACATATAAATGCTACTGCACAACTAAAGAATATTTGTAACGACAGAAGACAAGGGTCAGGCGACAGATCGTTTATCGAGAAAATCAACAGATATTTATAGATTTTTGCGTACATTATTATTAGCCTTATTATCAGCAGAATAGCAACGTCTTCCGATTGGTTTTTCTTGCTGAAAGTTATTATGTACTCCTTGTGACCGGTGCTTACAAAGTTATCCATTTATCTGCGAATTGTATCCGACCACGCAAAGTCTGCTGTGATTGGTTATTGAGTTCCTCAAGATTAGGCTCTGTTCCTGTTTGTTCTTATGACCTCGATTCGGGACGTAAACATTGACGTCAACTGTTGTCTACAAATTTGTCTTGCAGACAGCTCTCTCCACAGATTAATTCTTCGGAAAGAACTCTCCCCCATACCCCGGCCTTTGTGTGAACAGTACTTTGTTTCGATATCCACATTCTCATTTATCAGATTGTTTATTTTCCCTTTCTATTCCTTTGCGTTCCGCCGAGTGGAACACACAAATTCAAGCTTCAGGCTTTGTAATTTCATCAGTAGCAAAGATGTTTTTTAAGAGACGGAGGTGGAAGGGGTAGCCAGTCTCACGCCTGGCCTTCACTCTTTACCTAGTTCACTCCCAAAAGCTAGACAAGGTTTAGGAGTATGCGTCTGCTGGTGACCGTAATCGAACCCCAGGCCACCTGAGTGGTGTTGACGAGTATTTTACTACTACTGAAAGACTGACTGACTGGTTGCAACACAGAAATTTTCACTGATGTACACCAGTTCAAGTTGCCACACTCTGTGTACCACACAAAGCATGAGAAGAAGAAAGTAAAAGAAGTGCAAAATAGAGACAGTAAACAGACATATGAGGCAAAAAATAGTAATATCGAAGAATATAGTTTTATTGGATATAATAAGTCACAAGGGGTGGATGCATCTGTGCCAATCATTGAGAACAATTTTGAGCCATATCACCAATGGTCTGCAGCCTTCATTGGCCTTTACCGTCTCGAAGACCCCAACCAGTCAGGAAGTCTACACCTTCCCACGTGACTGGTTTAAACTAACTGTTGTGGATTTGATATGTATCCATATATATGGTGGTCTCTCTTTCTGTTGCTCTCTTAGTCTGTGACCATTTCACTTTGACGAACCTGTCTCCTTTAACAATGTATATTCCCCTTATATTATATATAATATGTGTGTTTGTTGACAGTCTGTCCTTGGTGATATATATCCATATAATATGTGTGCTTGTTGACATGTCTGCTATATTTTGCTATGTATATATGGATCGATACTCCATTATAATTAGCCAATCATGTTAAGACTGTCTATTGATTGTTCACTCACTTGTTTGGACATTCATATATATTTTTGCTCGCACACTCTTGTGTGACTTTGATTCTCCTTGTGTTTGGAAAATAGAAGTATCATCGCAAACCTAGTGGTCTTCTGATTTCCGTCTTTCTTGCGTCAGGACTATTAAATTCTCGACCAGTACATAACAATAATTTGGCGACGAGTACATAATAGGATTGGATTGACTAATGAAGCCATCTTTTCGTTTGACAACCACTACCTCGTTTCAAATCTAATCCATCCTATGTCAGCTAGCATTGCCTGTCGAGGAAGGCGATGGCAAAGAATGCGTGACACATGTCCTAACTATCTCAGTCGATGTAACTGAATGACTAACGTGCATACACAGATATGTATAGGGGTGAAAAATCGATATACAACTCATTGGAGAAAAATTCTACTCACTGTATTCTCGAAGTTGACGGGATTTCATTCATTTCCTCCTTCTACGAAGTGAACGAGGTATAATTAATGAGCGTCGTCTTTTCTTTGCCACAGGAGTAGTCACAACTCTATGGAAAATGAGAACCAAAATCAAATTTTTAAAAAAAGAAATTGACTTATTTCAAAATTTGATCATCAGCCGAAATCAGTTAGAGATTTCTATATAATTGAAAGCTCGAGTGTATTAGATAGCTGTTTTATTCTATTTTGTTTGGCACTCTCTATGAAGTAAGCCGGAGATCGAACTCATACGCATATATGACAGCGAGAAAGAAGGTTAGTATACTGATTTGTAAATATTTATACTGTTATATATCTATTTCTTGTGAGTACCTACCTTTGTGGTATTTTATATTTAAGAATAGAGTTCATGATGTTAACCCAAGAACCATTTTAAAAATTGCTTTACAATCGAGTTCGACCCCGGTGTATTCGTCATACTTGAAGTGGTATTTCGAGTACTAATCTAACAGTAGAAGACAACAGACTTGATAACGGGATGTTTATTTGGGATCTGATATACACACACATACACACATACATACACGGGGAAAGTATGAGCGCCTTATATTAAAATCATTGTTTGTGTTACTTCTGCCTTTCGTATTTCGTTTCTTCGTCTTCTTTACATGTCTCCCCCCGCCCCACAACACAGGTTCATTCGCCATTTCTCACGTCAACTCTATCTCTCCGCTATTAGATGTTTTTTTCCGATGGACGTCTCTTTATATTATTATTATTGTTCCCTTGGGTTCCTAGTGGGTTTCATTAACTCTTGTAACACTAGAAAGTTTGACATTTGTGGGAGAATGTGTGAAAGACTTGTTTAGTGTATACACATCAAATGAATAAGGAATACTATTCATTTGCTTACCACTAGTAATTTCTTTGAAAAGTTTCCATATATTAGAAGCATTTTTACAAGATATAAACTTCTGGTTATAAACAGAATTCAACCTGTACATAAGGCAGCAGCCGTGCATCAAGTTTAGACACAGACGTACATTCCAATTTGTAAAATAAGTATACTCCCAAACTTCCGTACATAACAAATAATAGACACTACACAGTGAGTAGTCAGAGGACTAATCTAGTCAAACCAGGCACCCGATAGTTCAATGAAATGTTCGCCAACCACACAAACAGACGGTACGGATTCGACTCCCACCTCAAACACACTCCTAAACCTCGTCTATAATTAATTAACTAGCCAATGGTAAGGCCAGAATAAAGAGAGAAGGTTGACAGTAAGGCTACCACCTATCCCAACCTTAACACAGACACACTGTTGGGATATCTAGCAGAAAATAAAACCTGTTTTTAAAAAAAGAACAAAGTTAAAACAAAACTATGAAGAGATGATTATTACCTTTGAGAGGAAAGCGAGTTGACAGCCTGACATTTATTAATCTCCAGTTTGTTAGAAATTTTTGGTGTATCCTTGTCCACTGAATTGGATGCTGTTTGAAGCCATTGTATTGTGCCATTAAAGGATTTGCTGACACTACTTCTTGAAGAAGAAGAAGAGACATCATTCATGTCAGGCGATAAAGTGACTGAATGCTTTCGACTTGATGACAGTGTAACTGAAGGTTTCGAATTTGGCGATACCTGACAGCCTATAGATCGTTGTGTACACGGTGAAGAAGGTGTACACTTTGACAGATGAGCAGACAACTGTTCTTCAAGAGCAGTGATCTTTCCCAACTGAAGTAAAAACGAAAACAAAAAAGTTGATATTACTAAAGATAACAATAATAATGATAATAGTGAAGAAAGCAAATGTTGAACCGAATGTAAACAAATAATCTACAAAACGAAGTTCTTTTACTACATTCTCTTAAAAACTTGGGAGGTGGTGATTCACTGTTGGAATATTCGCCAGTCTCACGCCGGTGTCCAGGTTCCACTTATAAACCTAGCCTAGTCTAGTTTGCAGTCCCGACAACAGCTAACTTTGCCATAATGGTCTACGAACTCGCCTTGTAAGCGGAAGGCCCTGGATTCGAATCCCGGTGGGTGTGTGCTGATGAAGAGCCACAAACTAGGACGAAGTAGCCGTCCAATACTCCCATATTTTCCAATGATTCTCTAACTAATGTTAGCTCATGATGAAATTCTGTAACTAATCGAATCCCTGCAAACCAATACTTGAATAACAGCTAATTTCGCCATTCCGATACCAAAAACCAAATAACCAGTCAGAAAGGATGAACAAGCAACATGGGACTCTGGCAGTGAACCGAACCTATAAACAGAAGGCATTGTGAATGGAATGGACAGATTTGCAGGAAGTATCCTAGTGGTATCTGATATCAGAAATGCCGTCTGCATGAGCAACGCATACCCGGGTGTATAACGCTTCGAAACCTTTACCGATCAACTTACCCCTGTAATAAAATTTGGTCAGTGATTAGCTTCTACTTATTATCTCCCTTTTGAACCCCCTTAACTCTCTTCTCATGCTTTGTGTGGTACATGGAATGTGGCAACTCCAATTGTTGCACTTCTGTGCAAATAGCTATATTGAAAACATACAGTCAGTCACTCTAATCCCTGGCATGAATTGTAATTCCACAAGTACAAGCATTTTAGTATAGGTTTGTAGGGATTTGGTTGATTGGTCACAGGATTTCATCATGAACTGACATTGGTTAGAGAACCATTGGAAAACCAGCTGGGAGTACTGGACAGCTGTTTCGTCCTAGTTTGGGACTCTTCAGCAGTACGCACTCACCGTGTGGGGTTCGAACCCAGGACCTTCTGGTTACAAGGCGAGCTCATATACTATTAAACCACTGGGACCCGATCCAATGGCCCATGAATTCTAACTTCTCCCAATTCACGACATAGCGCATAGTACAAGCATTTGTCTAAATAACTTACAAAGTAATATTCGGTTTAGTAAAAAATCAATCATTCATTAGTTAGGATTCGGTGTGCAACAAAAAGTTGTAGTGACTTGCGAATTGTATAAGCACTACATATCAGAATCCACACGAACTTATAACACTGATTTGGCTGAATTTCGAAGTAGAACCTTCTACACAAATGTACTAGTTCAAGTTCCCAAACTCCATGTAGCATACAAAGGGTTAGAGGAAAGAAACAAAACTATGAAAGGCAGAAAGGAATAGTAATATGGGAAAACATTAAGATTAAATGAATCGAGATTACATACAGGCTACGCACCTGCACTATAGACAACGGTTTTGAGCCATATTAATAACAGTCTGTAGCCACTTGTTGCTGGCATCTCAAGGATCCCAACCATACAGTCTACACCTCTGTATGTAGCTCAAACCAACTGTCAAGTACTCCACAGATTGATGACGGGTTTTGGTTTAACCACCCTATCATTCCTTTTCAATGTAAACTTATATTAGTTAACACTACTTACTGAGGAAAGCAGTGATTTGGCATGAGTAACACGTGTCTTAGCCGTCTCAATCGATATGACTTCACAAACTCATTGACTGACTGACTGACTTTCCTTCGTCACCTAACACTCAACCTAACCCAAATATAACTCACCATAGTATACCAATGAACACGGGAGATAGAGCGCAAACAACTACCCTTCCCAAGTCTTCTACTTCCAATGACCATGTGTCACAACCACAAAAAGAGGTCAAGAAAGAACTCTACTGCACAGTACACACATCCTTTGATCAATAGCCAAATATCAAGTATACGTCAAGGATGACGTAATTTGGGAAACACCACTTATAAGAACAATACAATACCAAACGTTGAACAGTGATTGATATGTAGAAAAGCACAGACCGTCTGATAACTAAACGTGAACACAAAACAACCAAAAGAAAATAACATGAGTTGTAGACTTACTGCTGAATCTAACTGACGTTTTTGTTGCATCACATAACGTGAAAGATACTTTAACCGAGTTGACAAAATCTTAACTTCCGCATTTACGCGCTCCATAAGGGTAACTGTATCTATAATTTATAGAAAGGACAAAAACAACAATTCTATATGTAAGACAATATGTGCCAGTCGACAGATTTATGCACTGAATTCCCTAGTAATATATAAATATACATGTACAGGATAGTAATTTAGTTTTTAAATTAAGACAGTGACTGACTGAGTGGTTTCAACATAGCACTTTACACAGATGTACACTAGTTCGAGTCGCCACACTCCATGTAGTACACAAAGCAAGAGAAGAAAGTACGAGGAAATGCAAAATAGAGACAGGAAACAGAGAATTGAGGCAGAAAGAATAGTAATATCGAAGAACAATATAGTTTAATTGGGTATTATGTCACGAAGAATGGATACCTCTGTGCCATCACTAAGAATGATTTCGACCCATATCAACAATTATCTCCAGCCTTCATTGGTGTTAACCATCTTGAGGACCCCAAACAGGAAGTCGACACCATCCTACGTGACTAGCTTAAACTAACTGTTGTGCATTTGATTGACTGATGAAGCTGTGTTTTGGTTTGACCACCACTAACCAGCTCTTTTCCAGCTTGATCAATCCTATGCCAGCTAACATTACCCGTCGAGGACGGCGATCGATGGTTAGGCACGCGTAACACATGTCCTAAGTATCTCAACAGATGTAGCTTCACAGCCTCATCGATTGATTTCCCCTCCTTACCTGTCTGGATTCAACATAGAACTGGGCACCGAAGTGCACCAGTTCGAGTTGCCACGTTCCAAATAGCACACAAAGGCAGACAAGATGAGTGAAGAGAATCAATACAGTCTGACAAGTACAAGAGTGAAACAGAATGGGTAATGGTAGAAAGGAATATGAAAGATTACAGAGACTGAATACATCTGCGCTGGCCATTGACAACGATTTTGAGCCATGTCACCTATTGTCTCCAGCCATTGATTCCTAGAGTCCCGAGGGCCCCAACCCGGGAGTCTGCATCTCCCTACCTGACTCAGTTTAACTGTCAAGGATTTCATGGATTTATGCCATGTTTTTGTTTGGCCACCACTGGCTCTTTTCCAACCTGAACCTATATCAGCTAGCAAAGCCCGTCGGGGGAGGCGGTGGTTAGGCATGCGCAGCACGTGACCTAGCCATCTTAGTCTATGTAACTTTATAGCCTCGTCGATTGATTTTCCCTCTTTGCCCAACACTCTACGCCTAACGTCAACATTACTTATCTTGTGAAACCACCTAACGTGAGACAGAGATCGCAGACATCTATGATCGAAAGCAGTCAACCTTTTCATGTCTTCAACGCGTATTGGCCATGTTTCAGAGCCATAGAGAAGGACGGAGCGAACTGATGAGCAGTACACACGTCCCTTGGTTGATAACCGGATGTCACGCCTACGCCAGAGATGGTGTAAGTCAGCGAAAGCAGCTCCAGCTTTTCGGATCCGTGCTGAGATTTCATCGCCAATCAGTCCGTTGGTGCTAATACAACTTCCCAAGTAGGTGAAGTGGTCAACATGTTCTATCACTTCAATCCCTATCACTAAGTTAGGGATTGACGGGGTCCAGTCCTGTAGCAGCATCTTACATTTTGTAGGGGCGAATCGCATGCCAAACATACGAAGATTGCTGTTCAAGGTGTTCAGAAGACTCTGCATTTTTTCAGCATCCTCCCCTAACAGGACTATGTCATCTGCATATTCTAAGTCCATAAGACTATTCCCTGGTAACAAGTCGATCCCTAAGTCATTACGTTCAGTTAAGGATACTTCCATCAGCATATCTATGATGAAGCTAAACAGAAATGGGGAAAGTGGACATTCCTGTCGGACACCACTGGTTGTTACCAATTCAGATGACAATTCCCCATAAGCCCTTACACGACTACGTGAGTTTGAATAGAGTGCCTTGATTAGTGCAGTGTACTTTCTTGGCACTCCCTTCACAGTCAGACATTGCCATAGTACCTTTCGATCCACAGAGTCGAAGGCCGCCTTCAAGTCAAGAAATATGGCAATTGTTGGACGCCGAAAAGTGTGTCTATGTTCTAGAATCTGTCGAAGAGTGAGGATATGATCTATGCACCCTCTACCTGGTCTAAAGCCTGCTTGATTTTCCCTTGTCTGTTCCTCCCGAGTTCTGCTTAGTCTATGCATGATTACTGAGCCTAGGATTTTAGAGACTATGTTCGTTAGGCTGATCCCCCTATGATTATCATACGAGGACTTGTTTCCCTTCTTGGATATCGGTATAATAAGTGACTTACCCCAGTCTGATGGTACTGTCTCTGATTCCCAGACTTTGCCTAGTACCTCAGTTAATCTACAAACTAGTATGTCACCCCCATATTTAAACACCTCCGGAATAATTCCGTCGGGTCCTGCCGCTTTGCCTCGTTTCAAATTACTGATAGCTTTTGTAACCTCACCTACAGACGGCGGACCAGTGTCTATATCCCATTCGGGTACGTGGTGGATGGCGGGGAGGTTCAGTGTCTGTCTGTCTCTGTCTGGATTCAACATAGAACTTGGCACCGAAGTGCAGCACTTCGAGTTGCCACGTTCCAAGTAGCACACAGAGGTAGACAAGAAGATGCGTGAGGAGAATTAATAGAGTTTGACAAATATAGGAGTGAAACAGAATGGGTAATGGTAGAAAGGAATATGAAAGATTACAGAGATTGAATACAATCTCTGTAATCTGTGCAGCAGTTCGAGTTGCCACGTTCCAAATAGCACACAGAGGTTCAGTGTGGCTGTAGGCAAGTTAAATTGTTCCTCAAAGTGTTCTTTCCAGCGTTCAAGGCGTCTATCCTGAGAGCTAATTAAGGAGCCATTTTTCTCAGAAATAGTCTCACTTATGAATTGCCTTCTCCCACCCGATTCTGTGATGAGTCTAAAGAGTTGCCTATCGCCGATGCTTTTTCCATCTCTTTTGCCTTTGTCAGCCACCACTGTTCACGGTCTTTGCGGAGACTTTTAGTAAGTTTCCTTTTGTGCAGCTTTCGCTCCTCATTGAATTCGGAGCTCGCCGGAATAAGTCTTCTAGCATCTATCAGTTCGGATGAGGCGGTGGAGATCCAGTGGTTTTTACTCACCTTTGGATTTGCCTTATTCACAGCTTTTACAGCTGTATCTATAGCTGACTGAATATTCTTCCAGGCTTCTCCAGGGTGAGCACAGCTGTCGAATTCAGATGTGCGTTTAGCTAGTTCTTCCTCAAATAGGGATTTAGTTTCCTGATCGAGCTGGGGACGTGATGGTTTTACCGCCAGCTGTTTCCTACGTCCGTTCAGTCGTAAACACACCCGAGCGCGGACCAGTGCATGGTCGGTATCTACACACGTGTTCCAAAAGGAGCGACAGTCTCCTACCGACCCACGCCAACGATAGCTTATTGCTATGTGGTCTATTTGTGTCCAGCGTTGGTTTGATGATGGGGGTCGCCAGGTTAAACAGTGTCTCTCCTAACACTCGACGCCTAACCTCAATATTGCTCACCCTAAGATAGTAATGAATTACTTCACTAGATCATGTAATGCAAGGGAGACAGGTCCGAGTATATACTATTGACTGATTGATATCAGTAGTTGGAAACCAGTGACTTTAAGCCAAAGTGCTTGATAGTCGCATTGAAGCGATACATATCTGTCAGCAGATTCGAACCGGATACGCTTCTGATGAACTCCGTCCCAAAGGAACGGAACAGCTGTTCAGTGTCTAGATCTATCTAGCAAGCACTACTGTTTGACTTGATTGGTTTCCTAATACTCATATGAATCAATGAGGAATAGTAGCAGTAGTATCACGCTATTCAGCCTGCCATCTTGATTACCATTTATAGCATTACTCACTGACTAACATAGTCAGTTTTGAACGTAGAACTTTGAACGGGACTGCTGTAGTTTAAGTTGCCAAAGTCCATACAGAACACAAAGGTGAAGAAATAGAAAAAACATCAAATGAACCATAACGGGGAGAAATGAGTGTGAAAAAGAATAATTACATGGTGAATAATGAGGATGTAATGGATCTGAATGTTACAGAAAGGTAAATGCATCTGCACTATTGAAAACAGTTCTCATCTATATCATTGATAGTCACTGGCCATTGGTTCTAATCATCTCAAGAATATCAACAAGTTCGTCTTCCCCTCCCTATGTGGCTCAGACCAACACTTAAAATCCTCAGATGATGATACCATGCTTTGGTTTAACCATCTTCAACTCTTGTAATTGAACCTGAAGTCAGCTAACATTGTTCATCAAGGTACGCGGTGGCTTGGCGTGAGTGCTACATGATAACTGAGGCGGCTACAACACGCGTGATCTGAACATTTTTGGTAACCGAAGAGAAATATCGTGACTTCTCACGTTGAACTGGACAATATGCAGGTGACGAATTTGATTCTAAACATAGGTTCAAACGTATAGTCACCTACGCAGAGACCGAGTTTGTAAACTGTGTTCAGAAGGAAATCCTGGTCTCTTCGTATCGACCATGATAGTACCTTCTACTGACTGAATATTACTGGTGTTAATATTTCATTCCATCTCATTATTATCCTTGATTCATCTAAACATACTTTTTGACAGTACCACTACCTTATTTGTTTGTTCATACAGAGTTTGAAATTCCTGACAATCTTAATTTCTTTCTCTGATAACTGATTGTTTATTTAAGTGGTGTAACTGTACCGCAATGCATTACCTTTATTTTATTCTTGCATACCCCATATCCATTTGAACTTGATTTGCAAAACATTAGCACCTATCGCTTTCCATGACTGGTTTAGCGTAATTTATTTATTCAACAATCAGCGTACTACACACACTAATTCTACCGACATTTGACGAATTCATCAAATCCTTGCTAGATGACATTTATAGCACAATTTGCTGCCCTAACTATGTCAACAAGTATTCCCAGTATTTCATAACTTGTTTCATTGCAATTCTTTATATATCCCAAATGGGTGTTACATCATCCCTGTGTTCAAGTGTTTGGTAGTGACTCGATGATTTGAGGTAAAGTGATTAATCTCTCACTCTACTTAACTAAATGTGGTAACCGAGCGTTACTGCTTTTTATTCGTTGCTGCCTATGTTGGCTGCAATGCGCCAAAATATTCCCCATACCGAGGAGGCACACAAATGTCAGATTTAACCAAGATAAGTACGACAACAATAGCCTAATTATTCACAATACCGAGTATATACCCTTCACGAATCAACGGAAATTTTAACAATGAATAATCAATGTCCACTAGATCGCATCAATCATGAATTCACGCTAACAATCATCTGTTATCTATCCTAGCATTAGATTACTGTCTATTACTTTCAACCCATACCAGCTCGTCGTTTGATCACATGTATGTGAATGCATCACAAGGACTGGGCATTCTTCTAGACTAATTAACTAAGCAGGGTCAAACATTCCACCTCTAGCTTAATTCTTATGCTCCATAATTATAACTGACTCTAACCTACATATTGACCCAACTAGCATTTTCTTCCGTCTCACTGCAATATTTCCGGGGGCATATTCTTCCAGCACAATAGCGAAAATGGGACAGTTATCTGCAGTCTGCTCCCCAAAGTTTCTGCAGTACTTCGAAGCCAGAGCTACCTGGAAAACTGAAAACTAAAGAGTTTCTTAACACAAATGTTTAAGGTGGTGGCCCAGTCGGTGAATTTTTCCAGGACCTGGGATATGCGGGTAAAAACGTGGACAGTTTTCCGTTCAAATTTGGGGAAAGTGGAAAATGGTGGGCTGTTTTCGGTTGTAACATGGGTGAAGTGGGAATAAGTGGGTTATTTTAGAAAATGGCATGGGTAAAGCGGGAAAATGTGGGCAAAGTGTTTGTTGTAAAGGTGTATAAACTGGGAAAATGGGAAAATAAAATTTTTGGGACATGGGCAAACGGGGAAAAACTATGCGGCAGTTACGCCATCTTTTGCCCACCTACTTGCCGACTAAAATTACCCATTAAGCCCCCGCTTTAGCCACATTGCCCTGGTGCATTCTGACTTCTATTGAAAAGACTTGGTGTTAACCCAACATGCACTACGGCACTAGGCACAACAGAACTTCGTAACTAATAAAGCGGAATTCTCGTCGAGGATATCAAGTCATGTACCAAAGGTTGCAATTGCATGGACATATCATTCAGAGAATTTGGAGAAGTAGGGACGTCCAACAACATAAAACCGAAAATGGGCGAATTTATAAATTCGCCCATTTTGCAATATAAAACGTATAACTACGCAAGTAATTACTTGGAAAACTTCGTAAAAAGGAAGGGTGACAAAGAGACCTGCAACTCACAGCAATGGAAATAAAAATGGTGAATTCCGCCGCTTCGAAGGATTTCAGTACAGTAAAACATTTCTCAGGGCTTGGCCTTTGGTGATGTATTGAGATAGTAAAAGTACATTTAATTGATTGTTTATATTAAAAGAGTTTGTTATTTTTAATTATGTATTATTAATCACTAATTAAGAATCATTGTAACGCAGTTCTCAAAAGTTAACTGTCATTGGTTGAGGAAGTACATCAGGGTTGTTCCCATTGGTTGATTTGTAGCCAATAACCGTTCATCAGGTTGCCCCGAAAAGTCTGCAATGTGCCCTAAGTCGGACAAAAAGTCTGCAATGTGCCCGAAGTCTGCCCCAAAAAGTCTGCAATGCGCCCGAAAAAAATGCTAGCTGGGTAAAGTATCAAGACCTCAAAAAATTGATCTTCAAGAACCCTCTAGATACAGGGAATGCTATAAAAGGTCTTTCTAAATCAAATCATGTCTGACTCTTTGAGTCTGTAGAGGTGAGATGCAGTATCCTTGTTATTTACTAGGTGCTTGTAGATTATGGCCATAATCTGCAGTCACCTGGATGAGTGCATCTATTGTGCATGGCATGATTTTCCTATAGATCATCTGTGAAGTGACTGAGAGACACTCTTACAGCACATGAGCGATAATAATATAGTAGAATATCATATTTGCAATGTTTTTAGTGTATCTATCAATTATTATGCCACCTTTATGCATCTGAACTCAGATTTTTTGACCAAAGTCACTGTGCTTTTGGCTATGGTAGTTTAACTTTGCCATCTAAGGAATTCGTCGTTACCTACACACTGAGAAAACGGGCAGCCTGTAGACGGCCGTAATTTTGAGTGACCGCGAATGAGATAAACAAGCGATTCGCTCGCTCGTGATTGGCCAGTTTGTCATTCGAGTTGAGGTAATTTCAAACATCATTTTGCTGCTTGGTTAAGTTCTGAATTTCCGTGAACGTTTTCTCGAATTGGATAGATAATTGACAACACAAATTATTACAGCTCAGGGGAGAAATGATATAGCAGTAGATTTGTTTGCTGAATTCAACGAATTCATGCCAAATTACGATCTAAGGACTTCTCAGGAGTGTCAAGAATGCAAACAATGTCCTGAAGAGGTAATAACTTCACGCAACTTCAATCATCGCTTGACCATTATTTTCAGAGATCCCACTGTGTATATTATACTTATTTAAGTATAATATACACAGTGGTCTAGCTAATCATGATAAAAACGACATGGTTGATGCAGCATATACGTATACTTTTGTATATGTAGGTAAACCTAGATGAACTGTGTCTGTCAGTCACCTCTCGTAAACCGTTAATGCTCAGCTCTTGCTACGCTCTGGCTCACGCTGTCGCTTGAAGTTTCTCAGAAACGCTTAGTAATAACGGACGAACAAACCAAAACACCAATTGTTGACTTGAGTACTCTGTATTGTTAAACCAACATATAAAAATAATATTGAATTAAGGTCTGTGAACAAATATTACAATAATAAATCATAAGATTACTTCTGACGATGTTTCACTCTTCTTTCTGAACAGCGACCGATGAGACGATGACTGTCGTATTGATGCCTCCGCGAAAATTGTGGAAGTTGATTTTGAGCAAACAACCATGAATTGATCGTTCAATCTTCAACTCCATTGACACTCCCCGGCAAAAAAGGGATCCATCCCTTTTTTCCTTCACGACCAATACACGTTGACTTGGATGCCATTGCGAGAACCTGGGTCACACGGGCAGAGCTGAAATGGAAAACAAACAGAAAAGCCAACACACCACAAGCATACACTCAGCACAATCTCACACATCGATGACGACCTGCGCCTCCAGACAGAGACCTCCACTTGACATCTTGCAACACAATCGCCACTTGCTAGAATGACTCTTGCAGAATGCAAAGTGACCATGGCAGCACCTCACGATACTCTACGCACATCCTCTTATCTGCTCACTACCAATTACCATTGAAATCGCTTGTCACTCATTCTGCCTCAGTTCTAGTAGCGGTGACGCATGCGAACCTTAGTCGTTTACACTCTTTCTCCCCGGCGTGTCGGAACGCAGCTAACAATTATCTCCGTGTGCGTTTCATTCTCAGCAATAGCCTAGCCTCCCCGGCGTATATGGCCCATCTGCTGTCTCTAACATCAATCAATTCATTCATGGATGAAGAAGACAAGAAACAACTTCAGAAGTAATCACGACGAAAATTTTAACAAAATTATGCAATAAAAACAAGGCACGAAAACAACGAGTAAACACAACTGATCCCAAATCACAAATTGCGAAGACACACCACACGTATACACAAACTGTACACAAAAACTCGCGGATCACATCTTGATGGAATTCCTTTGAAGAAACGCAGGACTTACACCAGTACGCCTACAACCCTTCTCACGTTGACGATAGTAATTTGTGGAATTGTCGGACACAAACAAGATTAACCAACAATTACGATAATTGGAACTCACACAATTATTTAACACAAACATATGTACAATCAACACATCAAATGTTGTGGATTCTGGCACGACAAACTACCCTTGAAGAACCGTAGGACTTACAGCAGTACGCCTACATTCCTTCTCAGGTTGATGATCCAAGTGGAAGTCGTCCGGACACAAACAGAATTACCAAAAGCTAGATGATAAATGATATCAATTCAGTATATACAATATGAACATATGTACAAGATCATACACCAAGCACATTGGACTGCTCATTGATGCGCTACCCTTTGAAGAACTGTAGGACTTACACCAGTACGCCTACAACCCTTCTCAGGTTGACGCCCTAGGTTGGAAAATCGTCGCAGAGTTCATTTGCTAACTTCCTTTTATGAGCTATATCCTCAAATCTGAACGGTAACACGCTCATGTCATTGTATTGTAGAACATAGATGACTGACAAACACACGAAGTATCTGGTCAACCAAGCGTAGACGCAGAGTAATTTACACCAAAGATGATAGAATTCAAAAAGTAACTTGAAACTAGAAATGCCTTTATTCGTGCAAGTCAATTTAACAATTACTCTCTCGTTTACACTTGGCTTATCCTCACTAAACTGACCATTGACATTCGTCCTTTCAAACGAACTGATACTACCATAGTCATTGCACAAGATACTTGAGTTCATGGGTGTCTTTTTCATTGTGGATGACAGCACCAATGACGACTGATTGATACCAGTTGATGAAGTTAGCGGTGGATCAAAAGCTGTTGTTACTCGACTTTCAGAAGTTTGTCTACCTGCAAGGCCACCACCACTGCTGTCTTTTACTATCAGCTCAGGTTTAGCACTAGCATCTGATGATAGGTGAGCTACATGCTGATCAATCACACTGACGGTCTCACAAGTACGCATGCCTTCTGCAACTGAATCTCCATTTATTTCTACTTCACGTTCAAGTTGTACAGAACCTTTGTTCAACTTAGCAGTAGTAGGCATATCCCTCATCTCATCATGATCAACCAAAGACAAATCTGCACTATCATGATCATTATCACGAATATTCACTTTACCGTCAACTTTATCATTTTCAAACTCTTTAATAACAGAAGTAGACAATTTTGGTTCCTCCTCGCGAATCATAAAAGGTTTTATAACTTCACTCTGACTAGTAATACCTTGTAAACTTGTAGGGTCAGAACTCCACTCTGAAGCAGCAACTCTATTCTGTGACACTCTATTCAACAATGGCTTACAAGTTGCAACTACAGACTTCTTCACCGCACCGTTATCGTCACACAATTCGGAGTCAGACCTGGAGTTTACATTTAGCTTATCACTGAACTTGCTCACTGGTTCACAGTTCACTTCTGTATGCACCTCTTGCACACGTGTAAAACACAACCGTTTTCGTCTTGCATCTTGCGACTTATCTGTTGAGGATGTACTACGAAACCTGTTACACTCACTAGATCTAAATGCATTACTAGACATCATGGAGCCTTATCGATATCCACCACTCTGAGGCTTATTCGTCATCAATGATTGCATTTTACCCTCAGACTGCTCTATTCTAGGGGTGAGATTCAATATACTGGCAAACTTGCTCATAGATTGATTGACACTATCTTTTACTAGTTTCAGGATATCATCAAACTTTGGCTCGATACCCTCATCCTCCATACGGGAGCTCATCTTCACCCACTTCCTTTGCGGTCGAGTAGGTAGACGTCTTGCTATTACTTCTAGTATAAAACTCGAGTTGAGGTCATTCATGCAATTCATAGAAATCAAGGTATTCTTATAAGGCATAAGATTATCTAAAAACTCAGTAAGTGCCTTGGAGTCATCTTGAAGTTGACTGCCGTTAGCTTCGACAGCTTCGTATACGTTCCTTACAATCATTGAAGGTCTTCCAAACCTTTGACGTAATATGCTCATAGCCTCAGCGTAGCCCTCTTTCGGCTTCATAAACTTACAACATTGTATAGCTCTTGCAGCAATTCCAGTGCAATACCTCATCAAATACATTAACTTCATTTCATCAGTTAATAAAAAACTACTCAGCATGATCTCAAACTCCTTTACAAATTGTAGATAATCAGCCGGGTTTCCATCGAAACAACGTGGTTCAAACTTGGGGAGTTTGATGTTCCTATTATCCCTGAACGGCGAAACAGTAACATCAACCATATCATGCTTAACATCAGACACATCGTTACAATTAACAGACAAGTCACCATGACTTACTTTCCTGTTTGCATCCAAGACACTCTGTCCCTTCTTTGACCCAGGCATTGTTGAACTTGACCAAATTCCAAAAAGTTCCAGATATTGCTAGTTCAAAGAGGACTTGACCGGCACCAGGAAAAATGAACGGCGACTATCCAAACTTTCACCAACTGTTTCAATCCGCCAGATCTGTTTCCACCGTCAGAAACTGTCAGTCACGTCTCATAAACCGTTAATACCCAGCTCTCGCTACGCTCGGGCCCACGCTGTTCTTAGAGATTTCTCAGAAACGCTTAGTTATAACGGACGCAAAAACCAAAACACCGATCTGCCGTTTGATATTTTGTATT